TACACACGTGTGTGAGTGCTCTGCACGTGCACACGTGTGCATTGCACGTATATGTGTGTTTGCATGTGCACACGTGTGTTTGTGAGTATCCTGTGTGCATGCACACATGTGTGTGAGAGTAGGGGCACAGCTGTGTCCCACACTCAGAGAGGCGGGTCCGGGGCGGACGGTTTCCGGACGAAGGAGGACGTCCCGAGGGGAGGGCTGTGGTTGCTGCAGCGGGGAGTTGGGGGGGGCCCTGGGGTCCTGCAAGCCTGGGTGTGAGGTGCCCCGCACACCCACTGGGCGCCGTGTGCAAGCATCCACACATCCGAGGATATGGGCACACACTCCACACTCCACGTGGGACACTACCCGCTACACAGGCTCACGCTGGGACACGCCCCGCCCCTGTGGTGCCCCGTGTGCGGGCCCCGCCCACAGACGTGGGGGTGCGGGCCCCGCCCCCTCCCAGCGAGCTGCCACCCGGGCCCTCGCTCCCCCACCAGGAGCTCGCGGCGCAGTCCCAGCAGTGTGCACCTTCACGTGCCACTGCATCCGTGCACAGGCTACGCAAGTGTGCCACCAAAGGCTGATTACTAGAGCGCGTGCGTGGCGCACTGGCCTAGCAGACGACATCACCCGCGTCATGCTCCCCACAGCGCAGGTCAGTGCCAACCTGCGCCACCTGAGGAAGAGTGCGCCCGTGGGAACTGACTGCAGGAGCGCGAGCGTGAAATTTATGCAAGCGTGAGAAACTCCCGGCCTCCCGAGGCCCTAGGGAGCACGGAGGAGCCATCCCATCTGCACGGGAGTCAGCGCCTGACATGGCTTCTGAGTCGCCGCAGAGCGGTCAGATCGCAGCGCTGGGAGCACAAACCACGGCATGGCGTGGGCTCTGCACAGTCCCAGCCGCAGCGAGTGGCGAAGGCAAGTGACGGTAACAGAGCCGGTCACTCCTCGTGCCTTTCGACGCACTCGCAGCGACTGGAGACCTGGCCTTCCAGACCGGCTGAATACGTGCGGAGCAGGGCAGGCCCTCTGCACGCAGCCCGGCCGGGAGACTCCGCGGCCTGGGCACCCGGCTGCTTCCAGGCAGCGCCACCAGCCCCGTCCGGGTGGGCGTGTGCTCCAGCTGCGCGGGAGGTGTCCAGAGACTGTGGCGGCAAACACGAGGCCCAGGGGCCGAGTCCAGCCCTCCACCGTGTTCTCTCCGGCCCAGCACCTTGTTTCTCCCCAGCGGCATCAGCGCCCAGCTCCTGGCCCCTAGTTGAGGAGTGGTTACATTTATACATAGTCCTAAAGTCACATTTGGCCTTTGGAGGGTGACCCCCAGGCTGATGTGGCCCCCGGCACCAGGGCCTCCCACCCCCTGCAGGCATGGACCCTGTGGACAGAGCGGGCGCAGCCTGGGGCCCAGACCCCGGGAACAGCGCCCCCTGCTGCCGAAGCTTCCGCAGGGCCAGGGCCGCCACCACCCTCTGCGTTCAACCAACACTACCGGCGCGGCGGTGCCGGCAGCTGAGCTGCGTCAGCCCTGGGTCCTCGGTCCACCCCTTCCGACAGACGGATGGTCGTCACAGACATGCTGACGCGCTGCTCACTCGCTGCTGTCCCATGAGGGCTGCGGCCACCAGTGACCAGTGGTGACCCTGCGGGCAATGGGTGCCCCTCCCTGTCGAGGGTTCGAGGGAGGACGCCCCCTTCCGGGCTCACGGGCTGAGCACATCCATGAGAGTCGAGTCCTGTTCCCTCGAGCAGCCCTCGGCCCCAAGAGCCCTGAGAGCCTCGGGTGGCCCAGAGGGAGGGGCTGGAAGGGGGGCCGGGGCGTCCCTGGAAAGGGTTCCCCACAGGAGGCTCCCGGGCAGCTGCCAGCCTGCCCACAGGGGGCACGCTCCCTCCACGGAAGGACCTAGAGAGAGACTGAGACCCCGGCCCCGCCGGCCTGGCCTGCTGCTGCCTCCCATGCCCCAAACCCCGCACACTCGGCGCCCAGGAGCCGGCCGGCGGGGCGCCGGCCTCCACACGCCCCCTCCGCGGTCCGTCCTTATTCTTCCCGGAACATCGAGATCCAGATGAGAGCCGTGCCCGGCTGGGCGCTGTGATCCTGGGGTGACGGGGACACTGGGTGGGAGCCCGGCGCAGCCCGCGCGAAGGGGAGGCGGAACGCGGTGATTGCAGCTGTTCCCTGCACCCCGTGCTCTGAGAGCGAATACCCCCCGGCAGACGAGAGGGAGAGGGGGCCGAGGCCGGCACCCCCCGCTCCCCTCCCACGTGCTCTGCGCCTCCTCACTCGGCCAGGCCTCCACCCCGCTCCCCGGGACCCCCGCCCCCACTCCGACCGCGGTTGGCAAACGCAGGGCGTCGGCATTCACCAGAGGTCGTGGCTCCGGCTGGCAGGGGGCCCTCAGGGGGTCCTGAGGGGCCAGCCCCCACCTGGCCCCACACAGCACCCACGGCCATGCCCGGGCTGCTACCCGCCCGGGGCGGGTGTCTCGGTGGGCGGGACTTTGACTGCTGACAAAGACGGTGCCGGCCGAGGCCACAGCCAGGGGCCACGGGGCGCCCCTCCCCGGGTCACGGCCCCGCTCCTATCTGCACAAGCGCTGCAGACGGCCTGGCCGGAGGGGACCCTCGGCCGGGGCTGGCCTGGCGGCACACAAAGGGCGGAGACGGGGACACGGCCCCGAGTCCCCTCCTGTCCCTCTGCACAGGCTGGAGTGGCGGAAATGGCGATTGAAGCGGCTCTCTCCGCTCGCCCGCAGACAACAAGTCCCGGTTGTCTGCCGCCGGTCTCACTCCCTCCCCCCTCCCCCTCCCCCCTGCTGGCCGGCGCACTGCTGGAAGAAAGTGGCCTGGAACCTGCAGCCCACGGCCGCCGGGACTGGGGCTGGCTCCCACCCTCCCCAGGGCCTGCCCGGGGCTCCTGACCCCGCGGGGCCGGAAGGGGCATCTCGGGGAAGACAGGGCACCACTGCAGCCCTGGCCGCTCACGGAGATGGGACAGAGGGACCCTGTCCCCGTGGAGCGAACACAGCCGCCCAGGGTGGACACAGGACACCCAAGGACATGGGAGAGCTCTGCGGAGGGGGCGAGGCCTGCAGACCCCCGGGCCGAGCCAGCGCCCCTGCTCCCGGCCCCAGCCCCAGCTCCGCCCCCCAGACCGGGGACGGACGCGCCCGTGTCCCCAGCAGGCCCGACGCCGGGGTTTCCGCGGGGGGCTCTCCAGGGCCGGTCACGGGAGGAAAGGGCTCCACGCCCCCAGCGCCGTCACCCTCGCAGGCGCGGTCCTGCCAGACTGCCATCTGCTGCCCCCGGGGGCGGCCGCTCCTTCCTCTGGACCGGGACACTCCGTCCGCACGACTTGGCCTGCGGGGCGCAGCGCCCCCGGGGACGCCCCCCGCCCCCGAGGGTGGGCGCCAGGGCGGTGTCTGGCGGCAGGGCCCCCCGGGGCTTCCTTCACTCTCTCCCCCGTCACAGCTGGAAAATCGGGGACCCTCGCCCTCATCACAGAAAAGCCCCGAACATGGCACTGTGGACCCGAGAGGCACAGAGAGAGAGAGAGGTGCACTGGCTCTTCGTCATGTGCCCCCTTTTCAAAGGGGGTCCCCCAAAGAGGAAGGTCAGTGGGGTTACGGTGGAAAGCTGCAGCCCAATAAGGCCCAGCTGCAAAGGGACCCGTGGCTACGGGGGGGGGGGGCGAGGCTCCCCTAGACACAGAGCAGCCCTCTGGGGATGGGCCGGCCCCAGGGGACCGCCGCCCCCCAGAGCCACCACCCTCCGCTGAGGCGGGTCACTAAGCCACCGGGGGGAGGGGCGGGTTCGGCTCCAGGGAGGCCGGCCCGTCCCTGGCAGAGCAGGCCAGGCCTGCCGCAAAGCCTGGGCTCGGCCGCCTCTCCCTCCAGGGCCGGGACCCGGAGTCCAGAGAGGGAGAGGGACACCAGGCCGGCGGAGCAGGTGGCCAGGCCGGGGCTGGCCTCCCACACCTCCCTGCTCCCCGGGGAGCCAGCGGCTCGCTAACGAGGAGGGAAGCCGCTGAATGTGGCGAGCCCTGCCTTTGTAGGGACCCGGGGCTAACGAGGGTCTGCCTGCCTCGCCGGCCACGCCAGCTCCCCTCCGTGCTGGGGCGTGGGGTGGGGGGGGGCACGGCGCCGGGTGGCACAGGTGGCAGGGTGTCTCAGGGCAAGGGCACGCCGGCCGAGGGCGGTGGGGGAGCCTGTGGGCTGCTCTGCGAGGGCCGGCCTGGGGGAGCCTCGGGTGCACGGGGCCGTGCCCCAGGAGAGCCCATTCCGGGACCAGGAAGTTTCCAGGAGGACCCAAGGTACCGCAGCGCCACCCACCATCCCGGCCCCTGAACCCCGGGGCCCTGGGTGCGGGGCTCCCCGGCCCTGGAGATGCCTGCAGCTGCCAGGGTCTGGCCATCAACATGTGCGCCTCCACCAAGTCCCGTGAGCGGGATCTCAGAGCCCCGTGCTCAGCAGGCGCTGAGCGGACGCGGCAAACTCGGTGCGGAGCCCTGGCGCTCAGGTGGTGAAGCCCCAGCTCCGGAACCCGCGGGTCCCCGACGAGGTCCGGAAGGCGACGCGGCAGCGGAGTGCAAGAGCGCAGGCCTCACCCTGGGCTCCCGCCCGCCCTCAGCCCGGCGCTCGGCCCGCCAGCATGGAGCGCTGGTGCCATCTACCGAGGCCCGCGGAGAGCGGGCGGCCGCCGCCGCCAACCGGCCGAGAGGGGCAGGAGACGGGCACCGCAGCCTCGGCCTGGGCCCGGACTCCCGGCGGCGCGGCGGCACCGAGGCCACCCGCCGCCCGCCCGACCCCGCGGGCCGCCCGCGAACCCCGATGTGCGCGGGCAGCGGGCGCCGCAGGAGCGCGGGTAGGGCTCCGTCACCGGCCCCACCGGCCCCTCCGGCCCCGCCAGCCCCGCAGTAGCGCTCCGCGAGCCCTGGCCGAGCGCGGCGGCAGGGGCGGCGGAACGTGCTGGAAGCCCAGCCGAGCGCAGGGACGGCGCCCGGGGACAATTACCTTCTCTCAGGAACTGCGCGTGGATCACCAGGACGAGGAAGCAGCAGAGCGCGGCGCCGGCGAGTGCCCAGAGCGCCTTCAGGAGCTGCATCGCGGAGTGCCCTCTCGGCCGACGCCCCCGAAGTCGCGCAGCGAAGGTCCAGGCGCCGCATCAGCGCCCCGCCGGGTGCAGCCGCCGCGGCCGCCCGCTTGCGCCCTCCATCCGCCGCCGGCGCCGCGTTCCGCCGCGACTGGAGGCGCCTCTCCGGGCGGCGATCCGCGTCTTTTTGGGCAGGGGGAGGGGGAGCGGGGGGCGCGGGGAGGGGGCGGGCGGGGGCGGGGAGGTTAGCACAAAGTCTCGGGCCGCGGCGGCCGCCGTTCCGGCCACTCGGCCACCATCGCGGGTTGCGGGGCGCCGGGGGCCCGGGCGCGGGGGGGTGGCCGCCGCGGCCCCATGAATCAGCCCCGCCGCCGCCCCCGGAGCCGCGCGGCCAGCAGGGCCGGGACGGCCGGCCGCGGACTGCGCAACGGCCCGGGCGCTGGGGGGTCCCGCGCGGCCCTGGCCCTTCGCTGCTCCGCGGCGCCTTTCTCCGCCTCCTTCGCCGCCGCCGCCGCCGCCGCCGCCTCCCGCGCTCGCTCCGGCCCGGGGCTCAGGGGGCCGCCGCGCTGTCACCTCCTCCGCGGAGGGCCCGGCTCGGGCCCGGGGCTGCGCACGGGGCGCGGGGCTGCCGCACCATCGCCGCCGCCGGGGCCGGTACGGCCCGGCCGAGCTCGCGCCGATCGAACTTGAGCGGCCCGGGGCTGGTGGGCCGGTTCCCTCCCCCCCTCCCCGGGACGATGCCGGCCTCCGCGCTCCCCGGAGCCCGCGCCTCCGCCGCTGCGGCCGGACGAGGCCCGGGCCCGCGCTCCCGCGGTGCTCGCGCTGCTGGCTCTGCCGGTGCGGGTGGCGGTGGTGGCGGCGGTGGTGGCGGGGCGGCCGCGCCGACAGGTGGGGCCGGCGACGCTGCGCGCCTGGCCGCCCGCGGGACGCCGCTGCTCCGGCCCGGGGATGCGCGCCCGCCGCTCGCTCGGCTCGGCCCGGCCGCTCCTGGGGAAGCGTCCGGAGGGGAGCGGGGACCAGGCCCCCGCGGCGATCGGACTCCGGCCCGCCGCCGTCCGCGCTCCGCCCGGCCGCCGATGCGCACTGGGCCGCGGAGGGGACCCGGGGGATCCCCGCCGCCCTGCAGCGCCCCCGCCTGGCGCGCCGGCGGGTCTGGCGGGGCCGGTCCAGCGGAAAACCGCGGGTCGGGCTCCACCTAGGTGCGCTGGTGCCTCACTGCAAAGCGGGCTGCGCGGGCGGGGGAGCGGCGCTCGCGAGGCCTCGGAGCGCCCAGCCCCCTCGCACACCACGGTCCCCGGAGGGACAGGGAGTCAGGCCCAGTGGCCATCGCGCTGCCCAGGGCTGACACTCGGTGGCTCCTGAAAGTCGGCACCTCCTACTGGAAACGACACAGCATGTCCCGGGCCCCGTGCGTGGCGTCCTCCCTGCGGCTGCCCGGCATCGGGTCGCACAGGCTCGCAGCGCCTGCCAAGGGGCTGCTCCAGATACGCCGCGGGCGCCGCCTGCCGCGGCCTGTCCCTCCTCCAGGAAGGGCCAGGATTTGTTTCTGGCCAGTTCTCCTCGCCGTGCCCCCTCCCCCCAGTCCCCCCTGGCAGCGCACAGAGGCCTCAAGGCACCTTTGAGCTGAATTTCAAATTCATTTTCAAATGCCCGGCAAAGGGTGGGGGCAGGGAGAGGGCAGGGAGGCCCCTCTGTCCCTACCTGCGCACCCCGCTGTGGGGGACCAGGCCAGCGCCCCGCGCGGTCCTCGTGGGGTGCGGCAGGCAGGGCTGGAGAACCGGACACCGGGGCTGGCACCCGGGCTGTGTCCTTCCCGCGCAGAGCCACGTGCCAGGAAGGGGAAGAGGCCGGACCTGGAGGGTCCTTGGAGGTCAGACAGGTCAAGCCCGGCGGTGTACAACTGGGGAAACTGAGGTCCGAGAAGGCTCAGACGCTCTCGTACCGACCCCAGCAATGAAGGGCAGGCCTCCGCTGGTCCAGACCGGCGCTTACTCTGCGGGGCGCCGCCCCGGGTCAGAGGCGAGGCCCCTGGAGAAGCAAATCCACACCTGCGGCCGCGTCGCGCTCCGGGGGGCTCCCCTGCATCCCAGGGCGGCTTCTGAGACGGGACGCTGGGCCCAAGCCCTCCCCTGGAGACGCGGCCCCAGCCTCCTGCTCACCCAACAGCTCAGGACCCGGCCGGGCCTTCTTGCCTCCCCCTTGGCCGTCCCCCCGCCCCGCAGACCACCACGCCCTGCAAGCCGCTCACCCTGCACCTCCGCCTCGCCGCCCCCACCCCCAGGCATTTTCCAGGGCTGCCCCGGCTGCAGTGACCAGCAGGAGCCGCCCTGCCGGGCAGGCACAGCCTGACCTCCGCCAAGGTCACGGCCTCGGAGGCGCACCTGCAGCGGCGCTCAGGGCCCGGGTGGCAAGGCCCTGGGGATCCCGGCGCGCGCACCCGCCCAGCATCCCCAAAGGGGCACGGCCAGGGAACAAAGCCCACCCCAGCATCGCTGCGTCCCCCCCAGTCCGGTGCGGATGACTTGAGATTTTGGGATTTTCACCACCGGAACTTGACAGAACCACCCATTTCGGGGCTCTCCCGTGAAGGGGAGGGAAGGAAAGCACCTGCCCGAAGGGCAGTGCGGCCCAGACTCATCTCCCCGGGTGGGGCCGGAGGCCTGCGTCCCGTGCGGGGGACCAGAGCACCCCCCCTCACCCCCGGCACCACCAGAACGTCCACCAGGGCGTGCGCAGGGTGTGCCGGCGCCCTTAGTGGCGGGGGCAGGTGTGGGGCGGGGAGCCCGCGGCCAGTGCCCAGAGGCTCGGGGGGCGGAGCGCAGCGTGGGGGCGGAGCTTCGTTTGCGAGTCTCTGACGTCACCGCGGCTGAGCAGTGCGAGCCAGGCTGTGTCGCTACCAGCAGAACGACCTCCGTGCCCCGTGGCAGCTCGCGCGACGATCTCGGAACGGCGCTCGCGTCCCCCCTCGTGTCAAGCTGCCGCTGTCCCGCCACGAGACGTTCTGTGTAATGTTCTGATAAAGAAGCAAGCACCTCACCTTATCAGAGAAGATTTTTCAGCATTCGATAAAACTGCCTCTCGATATAATTGGTTTCTTGGCAATCTCGCGCATTTCATTCTCCTCTTCGACGGGGTGCACGGGCTCCGCGAGATCGCACGGAACAGACTGGGGCCCCCCCCGCCCCACGCGCGATGGAGAGCGTGAGGCTCGGGGAGGGGCCCAGAGGCAGGGCGGTGCCCGGGGGACACAGGCCACGCCTCTCCCAGGGAGGCCCACGGGCCCCACACCCTGCCCGTCCCCCGGGGGCCTGCGGCCAGCCCTCCGGGCCGGGCAGGAGACCTGCGGGGTCCTGCTGACCGGTCACTGCCCACTCACCCTGTTTTCCCAGAGCGAATGGCTTGTGTCACATCCCGAGTCTTACAGTCGACACGTGGACAGAGGTCAGAAAAGTAGTTACAGTGGAAAAACTACACACCACAGTGAGACGCCACCTCCCACGGGTCGGAGTGGCCGTCATCAGTCCATCAGCAAACAGCGAGTGCTGGCGAGGATGTGGAGAGAGGGGACCTCCTTTCCACTGTCGGTGGGGATGAACGCAGACCGGGGCAGCCACTGTGGGGAGCAGTGTGGAAATGCCTCAAAATACTAAAGACGGGTCTGCCTTTTCACCCGGCGACCCCACCTCTGGGAGTCTGTCCAGAGGGACCCACAACGCTATCTCAGCAGGACACCAGCCCCCCTGTGTTCGCTGCAGCGTTGTTCACGCCTGTCGAACTGCGGAAGCAGCCCAGTGCCCACCAGCAGGTGAGCGGGTGAAACCACCGTGGGACATCTACAGAATGGAATACTACTCGGCTGCAAAAAAGAAGAAAAATGACCCCTTGCACTGGTATGGGTGGACCTGGAGAATATTCTGCTAAGTGAAACAAGCCAGTCCGAGAAAGACAAACACCATACGATCTCGCTCATCTGTGGAATCTAATGAACAAGCTGAACTCACAAGCAAAACAGAGACAGACTCACAGATGGAGAGCAGATGACAGCCGAGGGTGGGGGGAGGGGCGGGGCGGGAGGAGGGAGCAGAAAGGAGAAAGCACTCGTGGGTAACGGTGCGCTGCGTGCGGGGGTGAGTGTGAGGGGAATAAATGGTGATTGAGAAAAATAGAATTAAAAAATAAAACTAAAAAAAATCCCTAAATAAAAGATACATCCATCGCAACGACCTTGCCCATCGTGAATGGTGGCGGGGGGGAGGGTGGAGTGTTGGGCGGAGGGCGGGCAGGGTTTCTGGCTGGCCGGTGGGGAGCGGGGCGCGGACAGCCAGGGGTGGGCGAGTCAGAGCAAGACGGCGGCCCCCCCAGTCACGGTGCTGGGTCCAGATAAACCCGGACGACGCAGGAGCCGGGGACCGGGATGGGGGTGGACACTCTGCGGAGCGTCCTGGGGAGGAACCCGGGGCGCGGGAGGGGGGCAGAATCTTGCTTTTCACTCCAAAGCCTCCTTTGCAATGCGAGTGTTTTCCAGCATGCGGGTCTCTTCATGTGCTGTGGTCGGAGGAATACCAGCTCCATGAAAATAACCTGAAGGGGGGCTGAGCTGGAAATGCCAGCTGGAGAGGCTGGGGCGGGGCAGGCAGAGCGCCCGAGCTCTGGCCCAGGGCCTGGCGACGGGGTCCCAGGTTTGGGGCCAGGACGGCCACCTCTGCAGCCCCCCTGCAGAGCCCCCGGGGCCCCGGGGGGGAGGGAGGGGCCGGAGCCCTGTGTGGGAGGGTCTCGGGGGGCTGTCGCTGAGCCAGAGCGTTGAATTGGGCCCCAAAGACATGGTGTGTCTGCTGAAAGCCGTGCATGTATGCACACATGTGCACCACAAACATGCATGTGAACACACAGGGGCACATGGGAAATGCATATGCAACCACATGTGGTGACACGTGAGTGCATGTGTGTGCAGACACTTCCACATGTGTACACATGTGCAGGTATGTGCCGCAAATGCACGTGTGCACGTGAACACACCCCGGTGTGCAAGCATACGTGCACACACCTCGCACACACACAGCCGTGCACACACACATGCGAGGCCCTGGCACCGCAGTCTCCCCGGGTCCCGGGCGTGCAGGTGGGCTCC